CACACCATTAATCCAAAAGAGGGCTCGATACCGATAGTAGAGTGATAATTATTTATTTATTATAATTTTATCATATAGACAAAACCATCTTAAAACATATTTACTAAAGAAAAATGAAATAAATTAAAAATTAATTTGAACTTTAGAATTTTTATGATTACATAAAATTAATTATAAAATTAGAAAAGGAAATAAAAAATTGATCAAGATAATAAAAATCGTTGGTATTAAAAACATAAATTATTTTATATATATTTATATATATATATATATATATATATATATATATATATATATATATATATATTGAAAAAAATTTTTATAAATGTAAAAAGACAATAGGAAAAATAATAGTTAATTTTGACGCGTTTAATCTGAAGTGGACTTTTTTCAAGGAAAACGAAATGAATTTATTTAAAACAAAGTAACTAATAATAACAAAAAACAAAATGTCCTTAGCAACTGGAAGAATTTAGAGAACGCTATTTTCATACTGTAAATTGAAAATTACGTCATTTACTGTCACGTGTGGGAATACAGCAAGAAATACAATATCTCATCACCATCATCACCATCATCATCATCATTTTCATCATCACCAACATCATCATCGTCATCATCATCGCCATCATCACCAACATCATCGTCATCACCAACATCATCATCATCACCATCCTCCCAGTTTTCATCGTCTTTATCTACTAACTCTGTCCGTTTTCCTCTTCGCTTCTACTTCTTGTTATCATCATCATCATCAACACCCTTACCATCATCGCATCATCATCATTTTCATCATCATCATCATCATCATCACCAACATCATCATCACCATTATCATCGCCATCATCATCGCCATCATCATCACCACCACCACTATGAACATCACCAACATCATCACCATCATCATCATCACCAACATCATCATCACCATTATCATCGCCATCATCATCGCCATCATCGTCCTCATCATCACCACCGCCACTATCATCATCATCGCCATCATCATCATCCTTATCGCCATCGTCATCTTTCTAATCGTCCTCATTACACCATCCCGTGTCTGTTACTATCGTCAGTTCCCTTTTGGCATCGGATTTATTCTAGCATTTAATATTCTTTACTGCTGTTTCATTGCCTTCACTGAACAAAAGCATCTTGCCTTTTCGTTTTAAATTTTTTTTGATGAAACTTTTCCTTCTTTCATTCATATATTCATAAAATTAAATACTACAAAATCGACTCTTTACAAACATGTGGAAAAATGTCCTTCCTCTCCTTTGACTCCACATCTACCATCTTATATCAAACAGTTTATTCGTGATAAATAATATGCTTGAACTTCAATAAAAAGCGATCTTACATGGATTTGGTCCGAATAGAAAAATATAACGAGGTCCCAAATTGTTGTCTTAAACCCTCACAGTTGCTTTTATTCAGGTTTGTTCTCATATAAAAATTATTTCATTCTTTAAACTTCCGACATTTATGTTTTTTTTTTTGGCATCTTTTTTAAATTAACTTTTAAATAAATTCTTTTTTTTTATTGGACAATTTCCGGTCCTCCTTTCCTCCTCATTTATTCTTCTTCTTCTTCTTCTTTTTCTTCTTCTCTTATTCTTCTTTTTCTTCTTCTTCTTTCAACTATTAATATATACTTTTTCCCCATTCTTTTCATTTGTTTTCTTCTTCCTCCTTTTTTCCTTTAGTAGTATTACTATTACTACTACTACTTTTTATTATCCTTTTTTTTTTTTTCTTCTTATCCTTTTTTTTCTTATTTTTTTCTTCTTTTTTATTTCCAAAATTCTTTCACTATTATACAACTTTTTGTTGAAAAAATTTTCTTCTTTTTCCAATTTTTCTTTTATTATATTTATAAATTACTACTACTTCTACCCAATAATTTTTCATTTTCTTCTTCTTCTGAAAACCCTACATATATATTCTTATCCTCGTTCATTTAATAAAATTATATTAATGCATTTTATTAAATTCATTTTTATTCTCCTTCTTACCTCTTCTTCATCCTTCAACTCTTTCTTCTTCTTTCCGATCTTTCTTTCTTTCTATTTCATCCTCTTGCCCTTCCTCCTCCTTCTCATTCTTCTTCTTCCTTTCTAAATTTAACTAGTTTATCACAATTCTTCTGTTTAGCTTGGTGTATTATTATATATTCTCATTGCTCAAAGTAGGACCCAATAGTGTCATAAAACCATCGGGAATTCCAGTAAGATATCTAATCATTTCTAAGATACAACAGTTCAATGTTTAATCTATACTGGACAATTTTGGTTTTACACAATTTGGACAATTTTGCTGTTACACCCGCTATATCCCTTACTTCAGATAATTAAGCTTTGTTATAACAGATTAGAAGAGAAAAGGAAATTGAACATAAAATAGGCTTCGCCAGATGTACTTTTACCCAACACCGCCAGTTGCTACACAACCAAAACATCAACCTGAAAACTCGAATCATGTTCTTAAATATCCTCGTCAGATCGAAACTTTCATATGGATGTCATGCATGGCCCTATATTGCCAGTTGAATACAACCGCTTTCTAAGATCAATGGTGAAAAAAGGCTTAGAACGAGTTAAGTCTGAGGCCTTGGCTATTGTGAACTGGCGCTACATAGTCATAAACAAAAGCGTCTACCAAATAACAGTAACGACATCACTTGATGACTACCAACAGCAGCAACACCAAAAATGGATAGCACATGTAACTCGAAAAGAAAATAATGGCATAATCAAGATCTTGACATTCCACGCCATATCAAACAGGACGTTGGAAAGGAAACATCTATCAATACTGGAAAGAGAGATAACAGCTACTGGACTTGAGAAACCTATTTAACTGCAAAGGTTAGGAAGGTATCCTTTATCTATACTGGAAAGAGCGATAACAGCTACTGGACTTGAGAAACCTATTTAACTGAAAACCATTCTGGAAGGCAGGCTCATTTATACTGGAAAAACGATAACAGCTACTGGAACATTTGGGGGTTCTAAAAAAAGATATTCCTTCTTTGAACAGTGTAGATTGGCGCTATAAAATAATAAAGACAGGTGCTAAATCACAGAAACCAAATCACTTGATGACTACCAACATCAGCAACAATTAAAATGGATAGTTATTTAACTCCAAGAGAAAATAACAAACAATGAATTTTTTCCCAGATCTTTTAAATTAAAAAAAAAGAACAATTATTATGCAAAATATATAGCGATAACAATTACTGGACTTTCAAGAGAAAGGGTTAATAAATTCCCCGTGAAAACAGTACTTGGTACATAGCCAATGAATGCCAAATTTTCCTTAAAGGAAAAAAATTCTAATATATATTTTGAGAAATACGTCCGACAAGCCCAAACTTTTACAGCAAACATTGATATATATATATATATATATATATATATATATATATATATATATATATATATATATACACGCACACCCACACGAATATACAGACTTACACACATCTTACTCACTCCCTAATGAGCCAAAAATAAAACACACCCACAGAAATACACAATTATACACATCATCTCACTCATTCCCTAAAAACCAAATAACACACACACAAACATTAAACAGAGACACATCCCCTCTCCAGGACCAATAAAACTGTCAAACTGACCAAGGGAATTCAGAGAAGCATAGATCCATCCAGCTCTTATCTTAAATAACAACTTAAAAGAGACTGTTTGACCAACACAAGGAATGTTAAAAGATTCATGTTAAAAGATAAAAAAAAAAAAAAACAAATGAAAACTACAGACAAAAAGTTCATTTTCTCCATCAAGACATTCATTTCTAGTTACTGCTACCAGCAAGCAGAAATTTTTTTCTCCTGATGATGGCCATTTTGGCCGAAACTAGTCGAGGAATCTAAATGAAATAATAAAAAAAAAAACGAAAGAATATTAATCTACAACCCAGTGTGTCTGAAGATTTTATTTTTTTTAATATTTTTTATTGTTCAATATATATATATATATATATATATATATATATATATATATAATATATATATGTTGTAGAAGTTAATACTTAGAGCATCTAAATTTGATGTTTCTATGTCCACTTATATATTTTACTATCTGTTGATTTTGAGCACTTTATCCCATAAATATAGCACATGTTAATTTTAAAATGGATATTGGAAATATATATATATATATATATATATATATATATATGTAACTGTTTTTTCATGCTTCACCTCCTATCAGAAGGTAATTGTCAAATTATCTCATCACCATATATGGAGACGACACCAAAAACAGACGTTTCACCAACAGATTCTCTCCAGATAGATAGATAAAGTGAAACGTTATTTTTATTTTTTCTTTTAAATGTAGTCTTTTTAATCTCTTTTTATATTAAACAGAACACATATATATGTGTGTGTATGTGTGTGTAAAGTACTCGTATATATATATATATATATATATATATATATATATATACTTTCTATCACAGTTCATTTATAGCAATATACCTGTTTCAAACATTTATTAACTATCTCGTTTTACATTATGTTTTCACTTAATTCTACCTTTCCTTTCGTCCATTTTTTCATTTCCTTTCATGATATTTTCAGATGACTACCCTGCGCTTATATAGACGTTTTAGCAGAATCACCGCGCAACCAATTACTCCTAAAAGATCGCTTAAACAGCTTGTTAATAACCTAAGACATACACATTCGTCTTTTATCTGCATTTTTTACTCTTATTATTTTTATTCTTATTAACAAGAAGCGTTCGTTTAATGCAATTACAACACGCAACAGGGGTTTGCTTTTTTTTCCGTCAAAGCCCGACAGATGGCGTACTCACTTAAAAATGGCGTTATAAGCTTGTCATGGCGACTATTGACCGGATGGACACGTCATCATCTTTTGAGCTGACGAAATGAAACATAAAAGAGATAAAAAGGGTTGAAAGTTGAGGATAAATACGGTGAGATTAGTGAATAGAATAGAGGAAATGGTTGAAGAAAAGAAGGATAAAAAGAAAGATATAAGAGAAACTAAAAACAGTTCAGCGTCTATCTCTTTCCATTACATACTCTTCTTCTTCTTCTTCTTCTTCTTCTTCTTCATCATCATCATCGTTTTATTCTTCGTTATCATCGTCGTCGTCGTCGTCTTCTTTATCACCATTTCTTTCTTCTTCTTCTTCATCATCATCATCGTTTTATTCTTCGTTATCATCGTCGTCGTCGTCGTCGTCTTCTTTATCAACATTGCTTTCTTCTTCTTCTTCTTCTTCTTCTTCTTCTTCTTCTTCTTCTTCTTCTCTCCCTTACTCCCTGTCTCACTTTCTTTTTCTCTCTCTCTTCCTATGCCTTACTCTTTCCTTCTCTCTCTTTCTTCGTCTACCGCCTTCAAATCCTTTTTTTTTTTATTTGTTTTCTCTCTCTCTTCTCTTTTAAAAATCTCACATTTATCTTTTTAGTCTCTCTTTTTCTTTTCTCTCCTTTTCTCTTTCCTCTCTCTCTCTCTCTCTCTCTCTCTCTTCCTCAGTTATTCGCCTTCTCTCTCCTCCTTTACTCTCTCTCTTAGTCGTTCCCGCTTTTTCTCGGTCTCTCTCTTTTTCTCTCGCTTCAGACTTTCACCATTCAACTTTTTCTTTCTCAGTATCCTTTTTTTCAGTCACAGAAATATCACACCTTATACTAGTTGACTTAATATTTCTATTTATAAACAATCTTTTTCTCATTTCTTCTCTTTGCCACTTTAGAAAGAAAGAAAGATAGAAAGAAAGAGTATGTTAGGGAAAAAAAAGATTGATGTAGACATAGCCAAAAAGAAATATGCTGCGATATAGAAGAAATTTGATTTGATTGATTCGTTTTTTACGGCTTATCAACCTGTGGCAGGTTATTTAATGCCAGAAAACATTTTTAGATTGAAAAAAAAACCGTTTTTGAAGATAATAACAGTTTAGTGAGGCAAGTCACACTAATTAACCCATAGCTGGGGAAAGAGTTGTATTCATAATTTTCGCAAGTGTATTTGCGCGTAAGGAAATATAACGAACCCAACTGAAATTGAAACCCGGCTTTCAGATTTAGATTTCCGAGCCATTACCCATTACACGACTGGCACATCTATGCTTGCAACACCTGCTATTCCCAAGCGGTCACCCATCTAGGTATTGACTAGGTTCGACGTTGCTTAACTTCGATGATCATACGGGAACCGTGTTCGAACGTTATATGACCGTCATCCATGTAAAATGATGAAAGAAAGAAAGAAAGAAAGAAAGAAAGAAAGAAAGAAGAGTTGGACTAAAAGAAAAAGTTTATGCAGAAATAGTAAACGAAGAGAAGGGTAAGGAGATTAACGGGAAGAAGAGGAGGATGAAGAAGAAGAAGTAAGAAGTAAATGTAGAAGAGGACGAAGAAGAGCAACAACAAGAAGAAGGAAAAAGAAGAAGAGGACAAAGAAGGACGAGAAGAAGGGGAAGAGCAAGAGAAGAAGAAGAAGAAGAAGAAGAAGAAGAAGAAGAAGAAGAAGAAAACACAGAAGAAGAAGGGGAAGAGCAAGAGGAGGAAGAGGAAGAAGAAGAGGAGGAAGAAGGTGAGGAGAAAGACGAGTAAGGAAAAGAGGAGGAAGAAGAAAAAGAAGAGAAAAGAATAAGAAGAAAAAGAAGAAGAAGAAGTAGTAGTAGTAGTAAATGTAGAAGAGGATGAAGAATAGCAAGAAGAAGAAGACGATGCGGAAGGAAAAGAAGAAGGAGAAAAAGAAGAAGAGGACGAAGAAGAAGAAGAAGAAGAAGAAGAAGAGGACAAAGAAGGCGAGAAGAAGGGGAAGAGCAAGAGGAGGAAGAGGAAGAAGAAGAGGAAGACGAGTAAGGAAAAGAGGAGGAAAAAGAAAAAGAAAAGGAAAGAATAAGAAGAAAAAGAAGAAGTAGTAGTAGTAGTAATAGTAGTAGTAGTACTAGTAAATGTTGAAGAGGACGAAGAAGAGCAAGAAGAAGAGGAAGAGCAAGAAGAAGAAAACTATGCGGAAGGAAAAGAAGAAGAAGGAGAAAAAGAAGAAGAGGACGAAGAAGAACAATAAGAAGAAGAAAAGGAAAGAAGTTATAAGTTTAACAGGTTAATCTTCCTAACCGTATACAAAAAAAAATATATATATATATATATAAGGCGTTATCTAACAGTCGTAGGAAATCAAGGCTCAATATGAAACAAATTTATGTTCATTATTTTCTGATGAAGCACTTACGACATCTGTGGGAAAAAAAGAATCTATAAGACTAGGGAAACACTGCGATTTGAGACAGACACACAGTTTGATTTGTTTGGGTGTGACCACTTGTAGAGGAGAATAGGCAGACAGGGAGTAAAAGAAATGAACGGCGGAAATCTGTCTTCAAATCGAAAGAGCACATGTAGATAGATAGATAGATAGATAGATAGATAGATAGATAGATAGATAGATAGATTTGAACAGAATGAGATAGATAGATAGATAGATAGATAGATAGATAGATAGATAGATAGATAGATAGATAGATACCTTGACATGAACAGAATGAGATAGATAGATAGATAGATACCTTGACATGAACAAAATGAGATAGATAGATAGATAGATTTGAACAGAATGAGATAGATAGATAGATAGATAGATAGATAGATAGATAGATAGATAGATAGATAGATTTAAAACAAAACAGAATAGATAGATAGATAGATAATAGATAGATAGATAGATACCTTGACATGAACAGAATGAGATAGATAGATAGATAGATAGATAGATAGATAGATAGATTTGAACAGAATGAGATAGATAGATAGATAGATAGATAGATAGATACCTTGACATGAACAGAATGAGATAGATAGATAGATAGATAGATAGATAGATAGATAGATAGATAGATAGATAGATTTGAACAGAATGAGATAGATAGATAGATAGATAGATAGATAGATAGATAGATAGATAGATAAGGACTGATACATACATAAACTTGAACAGAATGAGATAGATAGATATGTTTGAATAGAATGAGATAGATTTTAACAGAATGAGATAGATAGATAGATAGATAGATAGATAGATAGATTGTGTGTGTGTGTGTGTGTGTGTGTGTGTGTGTGTGTGTGTGTGTGTGTGTGTGTGTGTGTTGTCAATTTTGCGTATATAATAATGACTTCTCCTGAGATAACTTCCGGTTGGGACTATTTGCCCAATTACCCTTCTATGGCTTCTTGCACAAGCTAACATATGCTATGTACAAATGAAAAAAAAAAAAGATTTTTTTGCTCACAACGGACAAAGATGGAAATGTATAAAAAATAAACATTTAAAAAAAATCTGTTGACTTTTGGGAAAAGTTGCGCCATTTTCGGCGTGAGAAATCCGTTAGACAGATTTTTTTGTTATATTTTCTACGTAAAAAAAAAGGCTAGGCGGGTAAAAAGCTTATTAGCTAGAAAGATAACGTTGTAGCCCGTGGAGTTGCAATTTATTTAAAGAAAGGTTTGAAGCTATAAGGCGTGGACGAGATTCGAAACCGGTTCGCCATAGTTTATTTTCATGATATATATCTATATTCTTCTTCTCTCTCTCTCTCTCTCTCTCTCTCTCTCTCTCTCTCTCTCTCTCAGTCTGTTCATATTTATCTATCCCAGTCTGTTCATATCTACATTTTCCAATTGTGTTCTTTGTCTCAACCTGATCCCACAAAGGGCGATGATCTCCCTTTTCACTCCATACGTGATCAGCCACGCCTGATTTTTCCACTTCCGCTCGTGTTAAGGCAGTGGAGAAGTTGGAGAGGGGAATTAACAGGAGATAACTGACAACTGACACCCATTAAACATGGCAAGTGGAACTAGAACAGTCTACACCAGTGAGCGAAATAAAGGGTTCAGTTCGACATTCCAACCACCTGAAAAGACCGGAGCGTACAACGGCCGAAATGTTGTAATAAATATGGCGACAAAGAATCTTCAAAAATTTAAATGTTACATTACGTCGTCATCTGTTATAAATGCTGGAATGATATTTTCTCGGTTTCTTTCACTCTCACTAACACCTTGCGTCTCAGTGGCTTTATTTCCTTGCTTGGGGTGAAAAGATTTTTTAAAAACTAGATGTAATTTATTTATCGTATGTTCCATTCGCCTTACTGTTTTTATTAAACGTATTAAAAGAGACAGACATTTTGTAAGGATTCATTCCAGTGATTGACTTTTCAAAATCACAAATGATTCTCCTTAAACAAGGAGAAAATTCGCCAGAAATTCTCATTTAGAAGAAGTGTACAAGAAATATTGTCAGAGCTATCGACTTTTTTAAGTCATCATCAGGGCAGGCAGAGACAATAGGTGAATTCCATAGAACTAGTGTGTGTTGTGACTTAGTCGATGAGTGTTATAACGTAAGCGAGGTGTGACGTATTATATATATATATATATATATATATATATATATATATATATATATATATGCTTACACGTTCTGAAGTGTCATATGTATTTCGCATTCTTTGGGCTGCTGTTACAATGTAATAAACTAATTCTTGTTTTATAACAGGTATTACAAAGCTCAATTTACTTAATATATATATATATATATATATATATATATATATATATATATATATATATATGTGTGTGTACATACATACATACATGATAGAAATTATTAGGAGGATTTGATAATTATATTAATTAATTCATCAAATCTGAAAGAAACCTCAACAGAATGCAGAAAGCACTGGACGGCCGTTTGGTTCTATATTTGGGACTCATCAGCAGTGCGCATCCACTACCGAGAATTGAAACCCGGACAGTAACGTTATCAGGCAAACGTCATACCAACTTTACTAAAGGGACTTGGTGACGATGATGTAGCACCACTCGATCACATATTCCGTGGTGGAAGTGGAACTCATCCGAGTTTCTCTTTAACCATAGGACTGTGCTCCCACGAGCTATGACTACTATCCCCAAGCCGCTCCACCCAGAGCATTTAGAAGCTGGTTCAAGCAAGGATATGCAAGTGATAGAAATTAAGGAGGATTTGAGAGAATTAAGTATTCTACCGAGAATTGAAACCCTGACAGTTACGTTATCAGGCAAACGTCATACCAACTCTCGGCGCACTGCTGATGCAGTCCCAAATATAGGACGAAACGGCCGCCCAGTGCTTTCTGCATTCTGTTGAGGTTTCTTCTAGATTCGATGAATTACTTAATTTTATATATATATATATATATATATATTTGGTTGGATAAATGTGAGTTTGTGACCCTGGGTTTCACGCTTTAGCGATCGTCAGACAAACTCTATAAATATATAAATAATTATACATATATATATATATATATTTATATTTATATTTATATACACTTTTCACACACACACACATATATATATATATATATATATATATATATATATATATATATATGTAGTTTATGAAAAACTAGGTAATCCGTATGGGTAATCCTAAAGAGGATAAAATCCAGAGAGCTCAATGTAAATCCAGAGCAAATAATTTATATATAAAATAATTTATAATATATATATATATAAATAATAATAATATATATATAAATAATAAAATATATATATAAATAATATATATATATATATATATATATATACTTCTGGGATTCGAGGTGCATGTATTATGTACATAACACTCACTAATCCTAACAAAGGCCTAAAACGTATCATCTATTATAAAAAGTTTCCAGCATCTAACTTATTTTACATTAACTATTGTCCTCATCATTATTGCCATATTCTCGACGTTTTGTTTGTTATTGGGGATAATTAAGTTAGATCTGTCTATATATCTGAGTGAGCTATTGTAACTACTCACGCTATTTACATTGTTCAGACTGTTGTCCTCATCTTTATTGTCCTATTCCCGACGTTTTGGCCGTTATACGCTCCGGCCGTCGTCAGGAGATATACGTTGGAATTTCGAACCGAACCATTTATTTCGTCCACCGGGGTAGATTGTTCTCGTTCCAAGTACCTACTCCATCTCTCTTTGAATTCCGAACGCCACAAATTATCCTGACGTTGTTTCAAAAAATTCGATTTCACTTGATACACGATTAACCAATGGAAATCAAACCACACAAAAATGAAAATATCAGAATTGCTTTTTTTCTTTTTTTCACTCCATATCTCTAAAAGAATAAATAAATGGGAAACATGTTAAGTTGATAAACGCTTCCTATTTGTTTTATATCATATCATATATAAGTTTGTAAATTCTGAACAGCCCTATGCATTCACATTCTTCGAGCTGCTGTTGCAATATAATAAACTGATTCTCGTTGCATGACAGGTGTTCCAAACAGATTTTTTTTTTAATATATATATATATATATATATATATATATATATTAAGTTTTTTAATATATATATATATATATATATATATATATATATATATATATATTTTGTGCGTAGATTCGAGGTGTATGTATTATGTTTTCAAAACTACCTAAATGATGTTTAAGTTCTTCTTTGTGCCCCCAAGCGATTCAAGGAAACTCTTAATCTTAAGTGGAAATGAAAACAAGGAAAGGATTATTGTCTGCTAAAGAATAATAGCAAAAGGAAAACAAAAGAAAAAACAAGAAAAAGATAGTCCGAGGCTCATAATTGAGAACGGTTTAAAAAAAAGAAAGAAAGAAAAATGAAGTAAGTAAAAAAGAAAAAGATAATTTCCGCTTTGTGTTGCCTTCCACAGCACTTATGGCCGCCAATAGAAATAGATGCTGTTAAAACGGGAGAAATGTTTGCCAATTCATCGGAGCTTTTATAGAAGTCGTACCATGAATAACTGACACTGCTCAAGTGGAAATGGCTAAAAAAAAAATAAAAAAATAAAAAAAACAAAAGGAATATTCTACACACTAATAAATACTAACACTTATTCGAGTATATATATATATATATATATATATATATATATATATATATATATATATCACATACATATAAACTTTCTCTCTCGCTCTGTCTCTCTCTCGCTCTCTCTTTATAAACAAGAATAAACTAGCCATTGAGTGATTCTCTCCTAATTATAAACAGGATGAAAAAGCAATTAAAAACATAATTCACTGATACATGACACTCAATAATCCTAACAAACACCTAAGACTTATCATGTATTATAAAAAGTTTGCAACATCTTAATTAATTTACGCTATTAACATTGACTATTGTCCTCATCTTTATTGTCATATCCCCGACGTTCTCTTTGTTATTGGGGATAATTAACTTAGATCTGTCTATATTTCTCAGATGATCTATTGTAACTATTTACACTATTGACATCGCTCAGTCTAAAGAAATATGTGGAAAAAACAAAATATGCAAGTATGCTGTTTTAATATTATTTCAATGTCGACGTCAAACGTTTCGGTCTAGTAGATCTTCTTCGGGACATAGTTATGGATTTATGAGTCAGGCATAATATCTATCTCACGCACGGTGAATACTAGACCCGGTTTCTTTAATATTTCCCCTTTTCTGGCAAGATTAATGCTCGACAAACGTACTTATAAATTTTAGATTAAAATAAAATTCTTTTTCATTTAAAATATACTCTATTTTAGGAATACGTTTTCACAAAATCGCCCACGTGACGCCGACGTGATCGTATTGCGAAACGGAAAGCTGATCTTAAAAATTTCAGTTATTCTGTTTTGATTAGTCTTATGACTATCGTCTTTTCATGAGCACGTGGTATTATGGTGGTTGAAGGATTGTTTGGTGATGGACGAGTTCTTTTGGTGAATGGGTAAAATGTAATGTACGAATGGGTCGCGAATCTAATTAGCTAGGTATAAGATAGTTAGTGTTGACCAGCTTCTACCCCTCCCCTTTATTGGCCTCGTGCCACAATTTGTACTTTTTGTACGAATAAATATCAGTCTTATGTCTATCGTCTTTTCATGTTGACTTGAATATCGTCT